TCAATCTGCTTCCTGGCTTTAAGTTTTAAGCGTAGTTTCTTAGCATTTCTTTGCTTTATTAATGCTAAAACTGCTTTCCTTGAAATTAAAAATATAGTAAAAAAAATCTAATAAATAACAATAGTAAGCTATATAGCATCAACTAGGTGCTATCTTCTAGTATATTCGCTCTACTCAGTTTCACACCTAAAGTCAGACATATATTCACAGACATGTATATACCAGCTGAACTTGCTATTGAAAGTAGTTAGATTATTTAAGAAATGTTGTGGATCAATAAAATGTGAGGGAAGAAAAAGGAGTGGAAAACTACTGTGGACACCTGAGGTAGTATGGGAGGAGGATGAGAAATGACATAGGGTGAGAAATAGGGGGAAATACATATAATATACATATATATGTATGAATATATATATATTTATGAAACTAGAAATGGAAAATTATTAATGATAACATGTATGATTAAGCCACTATGCAGTATATATTCTTGATGGGAAATCACATTTTGTATGCTGTGACAATGCTCAGTGAATGAATGTAAATTAATTAATTAAAAATAAAGACTTTATTGGGGATGCTGTCTCTAGTCTCCCTGTTTCTCTCATGGAAATAAATAACCTAGGAGAAAAACTACCCAATTAGATGTCACAGCCCTGGTTTGAAACAAGGTCAGAGTGCGTAACAGATTGAGAGCGACATGATGTCAGCATTGGGTGACCTCAGAAAGCAGTCGAAACGCTTAGGACACATTGACACAACATCCTTGCTGACTGAGCGGGTGGGTGGAGGGTTAACTGTGGGGAGCTGTGGCCTTCCAGCTTCTACGTGTGCTGAAAAGGTGTGACGACATCACCATGCACCACAAATCTTCCTTAAGTGGCCTCGTGGAGAGGAGGAAACCATCCAGCCTGCCCAGGGGCACTTACACAGTATTCACAGGATATTGATGTGAAAGCTTCTGGAGGCAACAAGCTCGAAGTGCTCACCAGGGCATTGCCTAGTCCTTAGTGTTCCTATCCTTTCTCACGCGATGGCTCTAGAATAATGTCCTCCTTCTCAGTTCAAGGATGGATAATATTTGGGACCAGCAGTTGGCATAATGGCTGTCTCTAGACTCCCATGTAGCTGACTGTGGTTCAATATTTGGACTTGGTGGCTTAAACTCACACTGAGCATGTGTGCGTGCGTGCCCAAGATCCTGAGAGGAGAATGGAGGAAAAGGGTTTGCAGCGTGGCCATCCCCCCCGGGGGGTGATTTCTCGCTTTCTGTCTCTCTCTGTCTTTCTGATGAGCACATGTGCCCTATAGCAAAAGCCTCTTAAAAAAAAAAAAAAAAGATGGACAGTTTTGACAAGGAATCAACATTGACTTAGGTAAACACATAAATATTTAAAAAGAAATATTAAACATACTATAGAGGTAGATGAGTAAAACACATCAGAGAGATTATACCAATGCAGGTGAAAGTTAAGACAATGTATTTATCCAAAAACCAATAAGACATCACAAATTAATACCAAAAATAGATACACAATTCAATTTGCATAGCAAATTATCCACAGATAATAATAATTATCGTCAATAATTTTCCATTTCTTTGTTTCATAAGATAGACACCAATGCCTGAAATATGGGAGAACTGAGTATCTAATTTTTTAAAAAGAATTATTTTAATTTTATTTATTTATTCATTTATTTTAATTTGACCAAAAAAAGAGAGAGAGGGAGAGAGAGGGAAAGTGAGAAAACAAGCCACCAGGTCTGAACTGTGGTTGGCCATGTGGGAGTGTCCAGTATCCCAACTACCATGCCACCTGCTGATCCTTCTAAAATTTTAATTTAACTTAAATTTGAAAATGGATAATCCAGACCAGCAGGCAGCATAGTGGTTAAGGCATTGGACTCCCATGTGGTCGATTGCTATTCAAGTCTCAAATCTGGCAGCTTGAAACTAATGCTGGGCACATGTTCATGTGTGCCCAAAATCCTGTGAGGAGAATGGAGAAGAAGGGATTGTGGTGTGGCCATCCCTTGTCGGGGGTAGGGGTGGGAGCTCTCTCTTTCTGTTTCTCTGTCTCTCTGGTGAGGGCACAGGCCCTATTGCAAAAATCTACAAAAAAAAAAAAATCTGGGGGCTGGCAGGTGGTGTGGTGGTTAAGGGCACTGGATTCCCGTATGGCCAGTGATAGTTTCAGTCCCGGACTTGGTAGCTTGCTTTCTCACTTTCTCTCTCTCTCCCCCTCTCTGAAAAAAAAAAAAAGAATACATAAGCAAATAAAGTTAAATAAAATAATTCTTTAAAAAATCTGATAGAGTTATTGAAAAACATTTAAGCATTTCTAGAACAACCTGGGCATGTGAATTTGCCTTTCAACTTTAAATTTTATAAAATCTAAATATAGATCAAGTATTTCCAGTAAAAATGTAGTGTTTCAATTGAGATAGACACACCAGATTTTGAAGACTTAGTTCCATAAGAATGCAAAATATATGATAGATATGATATTATCTTCAACATACTGGTTAAATATATTAGTAAATTAATTTTAGCTGTTTCTTTTTACTTTGGTTACTTTGGCTGCCACAGAAATCT